TTTTTTTTTTTTTTTTTTTGGATTTTGAATGGTTTGGTTTGGGTTTTGTAATTTTGTTTGTTGCTGTAAATGTTTAACATGTTTATGTGGTTTTCCTGTGTTTGTTTTTTTGCTGGGAAAGGTAAGGAAATATTCAATAGCCATGCTTTTGCTATTGGGTGTTTTTTCTTTGCATTGTAGTAATAAGGGATAGTTATATACAGGCACACAGATCCAGAAATTATACTCAGGTGTCTGGTTTTAAATGTTAAACTAGTACAGACTCGTGCATCGCACGGGTGCACAATTTTAAGGTCATTTATCCAGCCTTATAATTATATAAATGAATAAACATAAAAATGTATGAGATATATATATTACGTAACGTGTGTGAAACGAATGAATGCAGCCATTTGGGTATCGCTCAAAAAAATATGGGTTATTATATATATTAAAAAAAAAAATACTTACATTAGATCCATAAGAATTAATGCAGCAATTTGGCTATCGCCAGCTTTTATTTGTTTCTCTTGCACAATTTGAATGTCAACAATCAATCCTATAACATCTACAATTAAAAAAAATAAATATTAAAAAAACAAATATGTTATAATTTAATTACTTTGAAATAAAGAAATACAAATAGAAACAACATAAAATAAACCTACCGAATAACCTCGATTCATCGATTTTATTGACATCTTCTAGAGTTGCAAAGTCTTTGAATTGAAATCGAAAAACATGAAATTCTTCCTTGTACTTCGAAAACATAGTGCTCCCGTGCAGCATGATCTTAAAATCACCGGATGTCGAACGATACTTCCTTATATTGTTGTCCACTTGATAATTTTTTATACAAAAATGAGTAATGACCATGCCCTCCTCAAAATTCCTCTCTCTAAACGCAACCAAGTTGATTGCCCGTAGCCATGTTGTAATGTGATTTCCCTAAACATATACGAAAAAGCTATCAATGAAAAAATAATTTGTTTTAGAAACATAAAAATATATATTATATATACACGAAAATATATGGTTGATATTTTGAAAAACCAAATAAGTAAAAATAATTGGGCTTACAGTTTTATCATGCAGAACCTACTCAAGATAGGATTTTTATGTGTTGCCTCAGTTTTGAAAAAAACATTCTCACTATTCGAACTTTAAGTATAGATCTATTATCTGTTTAACTTGTTTTGATTAAGCCAAATCCTTGGTTTCATTTTATCGATGACACACTGATCTTTTTTTTGTTTTTCGCAGGAGGTTGAAAGAGAGCAACACGTTGATTCGGTATTGGGAGATTTATAATTCATAATTGCATTATTGAATTATATGTAGAGATAATATGTAGAGATAATGTCAAGTAAATCAAAACAGATCATTATCTGTAGTAACAAATCAGATAAGATAGATTTATATTGCATTATAATCTGATTTAGGCGTAAAAAACAATTCTACCCAACAAAACACTTCAATTTAGGCGTAAACTATGATTTAATTATGGAAGAAGTTTTATGGTTGACCGATCTTATCATCATGCCTGAATAATTATAATTTATAATTTATAATTGCATTCAAAAAAGATTTTTCGTACAACAAAAAACGTGAAATATGATTTAATTTTGGAATCAATTTTTTATGTTGACGTATAATTGCATTCAAAAAAGATTTTCCATACAACAAAACGCGTGAAATCAGTTTTACTTTTAGAAGATGTTTTTTATGTTGACCGATATAAAGTAGAATGCAAAATAAATCTAATTTAATATTCTGTTGATGGAGATAGAAATGAATTAATTGTCATTGACTTTTAAACTTACTAAATTTAGTAAATAGGATGGCTTATTATATTAGTATAGATAATGAGCATGTAGTTTAAGTAAAAAAAAATGTAATTGCTATAAATATAAATATTGATACGTGTACCATCAAGTTTTTTAAAACTTAGAATCCGTATCACCCTCAAACTTTAAAAAAAATAAAAATAAACAAAAGTAAAAGATTTCATGTATTGATAATTTATGGAAAATAAGTTTTTTGGTTGAAAAATTGATTTAAATTAAACTTTTACACAATATTTTATACTCTCTCCTATTCATAGTAAGTGTCGTTTTTGAGAAGTTGCACAGTTATTAAGAATATTTTTTTTGCCAATAATAACCCTCATTAATGAGGATATAGATGAATGTTTTGAGAAAAGATGAAGAGTGAATATAAAAAGACGTAGTGTATTTATTAACTAGATGAGGGTAATAATGGAAAAATATGTACAAAATATCCAAAATGACATTTATTTTGTTACTAGTTGATAATACCAAAATTACATTTAAAAAGAATAGGAGGTAGTATCATTTTTGTTGATGAAAACTTATCGAAATGACATTTTTTAAGAGAAAATAATAAAGTTAAAAAAAGTGATACACACACACCAAAAAAAAAAAAAAAAAAAAAAAAAAAAAAAAAAAGAGAGTAAAAAATCAACATTAAAAAATGTAACAATCAAACTAATAAATACTCGATTTTATAAATCACTAAATCGATTTACAATCAAGAGACCAAAAAACTAAATCATTATAAATATTTTCAAAAGCTTATCTAAAACTTTAAAATATAAGGATTGTTAGTATATTTATCAATAAATAAATAATATTATTAATTTAAATAAAAAATAGTATAAGAAATAAGTTTAAATTAGTAATATATTGTAAGTATTTTTATATTTCTACACATATTTTATACTATTTTCTTTATATATATACTCTTTTTATTAAGTTTTAATTATTAATATATCAATTTTAGTATTTCTATACATATTTTATAGTATGTATATATAAAATATCGCTATCTACGTATGATTACTCTTCAAAAAAGGTAGAAGCACTACCGGCTTTCACAATCAATAAGGCTCGATTACATTGACCTCTAACTCCAAATTGAATAAGAGATCTAATAGACCATTTTTGAAATAGCATAATAAATCATCCGTTATGTACGGATGATGAAATTCCATTGTTAGAGAGCGAATTTCAATAGAATTGTTCGAGGGTCTCATTGTTGTGCATCCAGTAGGAATTGAACCTACGAATTCGCCAATTATGAGTTGGGCGCTTTAACCATTCAGCCATGAGCAACTAGCGCGAAAGCCGTTGCGCTAACGCGCATCCGTTTTCTTGCTGCTTCGAAAAGTTTGTTTGGTCTTTTTCCTTTTCTTTGAAGTTGGAGAAGAGGAAATCACGGCCCTTAGGCTTGAAGTTCACGTGGCCGGTGCTCACTTCACGTCATTTTTTCGATCGCGGTGGGAAGGAAGCAGCCCTAGCCTCTGTTCGGCCGATCATTCCGCTGGCATCTCGCATTCACGACCCCATTTGACTGCCGCTCGGGGATGTAGTTGTAGATAGGTTATAGTGGGTCGTTGGCTCCACCTGTTATCTCCTTCTACGACATGCTTATATATATATATATATTGATTTTTTTAAAAGAAAAAAATGAAAGGGGCCCACGGACCTCCCTGACCCCTTATAGCTCCGCGAGTGGTTACATAAATATTGAGTTAGTTAAATAAAGCGAGGTGCTCGTGAAGTTTCATTAGGCTTGTTAAATAGGATTTTCACGCAATTTAATGTTCTATATTGGCTTGTTAAAGTTCGTTAACTCGCTTCATTTGACTAAATAATGGCTCGAGCCCGAGTTCGAGTAGCAGGAACTCGAGGACGGGTTGACTCATTTTTCAGCTCTAGATAAAAAATAAATGCAGATTGAGGATTGTATGTTTGTAGCTAAATGATTATTGTTCAAGTTGTAAAATGAACCGGTCTAGCTCGACCCTTGGTTGATCCAAAGTCGGGCCTAGTAAGGATTGGTCAATTGGGCCGACCTGCAATCGCACTGGTCAAACCTATAATGACTTGGTCAAAATGCGGTCGACCCACTTGTAATCCAGTCGTTTCGGGTATTGACCCGACTGAATTTATTTTTTTTAAGTATTTGTGATTTTTTCAAATATATTGAAATTTGAAATTAAAAAGTATGCATGTATAAATGTATATATCCATGACATAATTCTTATTTGAGGTGTAAAATTTATATACGAGTTAGTATTTTTGCTATTTTTATATATAATGTCTGCATGTTTAAAATTGAATATCAGGTTCAAAAATGAATATTCTCGAATTTCAAATTATGACTAGAATTACTTTAGTGCTGTTAAATTAAATGAGTGTGACTCGATTGGGCTCGAGTTCATTAAGGCCAAGTTCGGCCCGAGCACCAATCATTTAAAGTTTGTTTGGTTAATGAGGCTTGTTAAGGCTCGAAAGGAAAAAATTTATATAATTTCCACAGTTTGGTTCATTAAAACTCGAGATTGGCTCGTTAACAGTGATAAACAAGCAGAGCTCGAGCCTGATTTCTAGCTCATTTATTAAACGAGTTCGGCTCGTTAACGACTCGAGTTCAACTCCAACTCGTTTACATACCTAAATTACTTTAAAAAAAAACCATTTTGTTACTTTTTTTCCTACAAATTTACCTAAAAAATTATTATAATAATTCACACATAAATTTCACACCTAATAATAATAATAATAATAATAATAATAATAATAATAATAATAATAATAATAATAATAATAATAATAATAATAATAATAAATATATAATGCATAAATATATAATTAAGAAACAATTACAAATATTTGAAAAATAAATTCCTGTTGGGAATTGGGATACATACATAAATCACACTGGTTTGCTGCATAATTTCAGCAGACCGTGACTATCTGTGTGCGCGAAGAACATTTAACGCGGCAAAATCGCCATTGATGAATCCTCTTTCTCTCTCTCAGTCCCTCTGATTTGCTCGACAATTTATCAAGCTACCCGAGTTAAAAAAACTGACGAGAGAAGGTGGACACGAACTAATGAGTTGATCAATGGCGAAGGCAAAACCTAGGACAATCAGGTTTGTTTTGGTGATTGTGGGGCTTTTGGGATTGTTTCTCATTGCAGATCTTCTATGGGCTTCATCATCTTCTTCTCCTTCCAATTGGGCTCTCGATGATTCCAACAATTTTGTGGTTCCAAACCCTTTTCACAGCAGTAATGGCTCGCTTGTCGCGCCAGACAAGGTATGTGAATTTCTTAGTCGTGTTTGCCTTCTTCTGCTAACCGGCGTTGATTTCATTAACATAGTCGAATTTCAGCTTATGGGAAGTTGCTACAAGTGTTGATGCTGGTTAAACAATGAAGTTATGGATGCACAAGCATCACTCTAATTTTTAGTGCATTTCGTGTTCTGGAGGCTTGATATGAGCTGAGATTTATTTGTTTGTTCAGTTGGACTTAAGTATGGACTTGATATCCCCAGCCTTTTTTTTTTTTTCTCACAGGTGACCCCTAATCGAGATAAGCAAGATGCTGTTCCCAGGGTCTTATCGGCAACATTTGCTGATTTGCCAGCTCCCGAGTTGCAATGGGAGAAGATGAAGCCAGCACCTGTTCCTCGTCTGGATGGTGCTGCTATACAGATCAAGAATCTTCTCTACGTTTTTGCTGGATATGGGACCATTGATACTGTGAGTAATGCTATTTTGACATTTTCTCTTATCTCTGTGGGTGCTGCTCGAGTAGTTTTCAATTTGGATAGTTCTGACACTCCAATTGAACGCTATGCGTCATTAAGTATTGCATTTCTGTACAATCTTTGGGTTGATCTTTAGTGGCTACCTTTACTGCCGATGTTAGTATGTAGACCAGATGAATTAAAGGACTATGATTCAACTGATATCTGACATCTTGTGGATATGCTGCACTATTAACTCAGGTTGCCACTAAATGACATGATACGATATAATGATGCTATGGCAATCTCGTATTGATTGACTATTGTACTTGTATGTCGCAGTTTCTTTATTTACTTCTGTTTCTTTTCCTTTAGCTCCCTTTTCTTCCCCTCAATTTTTGTTTGTTTGCAAAATCTGATGGCCCTAGATTGATTTGTGTTTCTTAAGGTGCATTCTCATGTTGATGTATACAATTTCACCGATAACACCTGGAGTGGAAGGTTTGACATGCCCAAAGAAATGGCCCATTCGCATTTAGGCATGGTGACAGATGGAAGATATATTTACGTGGTTACTGGACAGTATGGTCCTCAATGTAGAGGGCCTACAGCACACACATTCGTACTAGACACCGTGACACGTAAGTGGAAATACCTGCCACCTTTACCAGTCCCAAGGTACCATCTTGTTATGCTGTTGCACATTCTAGTGTCTAAAAGGTGTATCTTGTGAGTTTCTTAAAAGGTTTTTTATTTTTTTATTTTTTTATTTTTTATTTTTTTGATCTGTTGTCTCTTCACTTGATGCTAAAATTGGTATGATTTGCTTGCTTCTTCTTGGCCACCCTGTTAGATCTTAATTGTAGGTTTATAAACATGTGTTGTTGTGATTTTCGATCATTTTTGCTCTCTCAATGATCATGAAACTATTGCTTTGTAAGGTATTTCTTCTTTGGAATGATGCTTCTTAAATTATTTTAGATTACTTGGATATCCTAGGTCTTTACAATAGAATAACAGTTGTTAAATAAGTGAAATGATGTGATGAAACTCAAGAATACAACTTTTGTATTTTATGTACATCAACTCTTTTGATAGTGTTCCATTTGATGAGGATTATTTATTATCATGGTCCTTTCAGATATGCCCCGGCCACCCAGCTTTGGAGAGGCCGACTTCATGTAATGGGTGGTAGCAAAGAGAACAGGTATACACCTGCATTGGAGCACTGGAGCATTGCTGTGAAAAATGGCAAAGTTTTGGAAAATGAATGGAGATCTGAAATTCCCATTCCTCGTGGTGGACCTCACAGGTTTGTATGCTTTCCATTCAGAATTTAAGTTTATTAAGTGTAGCCAAATTCCCGTTAGGTATGGATGAATAAGATCATTTTGTCCTCCTTTCAGCACTCGGAATTTGTTTTGTTTATACTGTTTTGCTTGTATATTATAAAGCACACTACTAACTAGTTGTGGTAACATACTATTAGCATATTTAGTATATAAGGCACTGATGCAGTGACATATTTCATGCAGATTATAGCATTTAAGTATCGAGTCCATCAGTTTCACCTCACTCATATTTCACTATACATTTTTTTTTAATTTACATCAACCACACATTTTATGAGCAGGGCATGCTTCCGACGTACTTGTAGGAGTATCTACCCTAAGCAAACATCAACATACTTTTTAGGAGATATATTTATTTTATTTTCTCTGGGAAAATTACAGTGCTTTAAGCAGATACACCACATCTGACTCTCAGATGTGCCTACAAATATGAAATTCTGCAAGTGGGGAAACTGCTTATTGAAAACTTGAATTTTAGTTCATTACCCATTAGCTTCAAAGATGCCATTTGCTGATTGATAATGGGGTTTGCGTAGAACTCATCCCCAAAAGCTAGCTCAAAAGGGGAGGATGCCCAACCCTCACTTGTGGGACAAACATAACTAACTTCTAACACTGATTTAATCCATCATCAAAGTCACATCAAAATTTCAGTCTAATGGTACTTATAATTTCAGTTGAAGAATTTTCCTTCACGAATATGGTCTTCATTTGTCTACGAATTATTGCATTAGGGCTTGCGTCGTGTACAATGACCGCTTGTATACTATCGGTGGTCAAGAGGGTGATTTCATGGCCAAACCCGGATCTCCAATATTTAAATGCTCCCGTCGCAATGAGGTAATCCAACTCAAGTTTTTAGAATAAATCCATCTAGTCAAATGCATGTCAATATTCAATAATGGCAACTTGCGACCATCGACATAAATTTTCATATGTATCTTTGCAGGTTGTATATGGCGATGTGTACATGTTAGATGATGAGATGAAGTGGAAAGTGCTACCCTCTATGCCCAAGCCCGATTCTCATATCGAATTTGCCTGGGCAATTGTAGACAGCTCCATTGTCGTTGTTGGAGGTACCACGGAGAAGCATCCCGTGACCAAGAAGATGATATTAGTTGGAGAAATATTCCGGTTTGACTTTGATACACTGGTAATCTTCTTAATTCAAAAACACTTCTTTTTTTTTTTTTCCTTTGTAATCTATAATTCTATCAGTAAATTTTTCTTCTGCCAAATAGTTTTTACTTCACTTTTAACATTTTTGCTCGTGTTTGTATGACTGTATTGACGCACATCGTATTTTGTTGGTGATTTGGAAAATTACAGAAGTGGTCTGTGATCGGGAAGCTTCCTTATCGTCTGAAAACAACACTCGTTGGGTTTTGGGATGGAATGTTGTATTTTACATCGGGCCAACGAGACAGGGGGCCCGACAATCCTGCCCCAAAAAAGGTTATTGGGGAGATGTGGAGAACGAAGCTTATATTATGAGCATATATATATATTTTTTATATTCATTTGGTGGATAATAATCTGTCAATGTAACAAACAAGAATCACTTTTAAATCAATTCATTAGCCTATTCTTTTTTTATTTTTGCATTCTTCCATTTTTTTCAATTTACAGGGCACACACATCATATCATTCTGTTGTAGTTTTAGGCTTTAGCATAACAAACTGCAAGAACCATTGAGTTGGAGTCGGTTTTTAAAGCTACATCAACACACATAGACATACACATTGTTGTGTGATGATCCAACGAGTAAAATACCAACGACTACACTGGGATTACCGGTAGAGTCGAATCCTCCTTATATTGATATGAAAAATTTATATATTTATGTTGCATTTGGCTTTATCAGCTTAATATTATTCACATTTTTTCCCTTTGTTTTTGGTCAATATCATGAATCATCTTAGATACCCAGAGCCAGAAGATTATTAACTGAAACTTAAAAGAAACAAGTATGCATACACTGGAGTGAAATCCTAAGAACAATACACAGATGATGCCACCACTATCAGTTCCATATAAGAAGTTAAAAGAAGCACATTTATCAACAACTGCATTTTTAACAGTCAAACACAAATTATCAAAACAACTCAACCATAATTTTTACTAATACCTACAACATTTAGATGCATAACCCAATAGCTAACCCCAAACTAATGCTCCCCATTAAGGCTGCAAACGAACTTGCGACTCATGTTTTACCGTACTCGAGTCGAGCTCGGAATGTTATCGAGTCGATTTCGAGCATAGATTTTGGAAGGTCGAGCCGCTCAAAATACTCTTTATATATAAATATTACAATATTTTATATATGTATTTAATGATAATTTTACTTGAAATTCGAGTCGAATTCGAGCCCAACTCAAACAATCATTTGAGCATTTTGATTTCAATCGATCTCGAGCCAAGCTCAGGCAATTGTCTTTCTTTTTGTCGAGTCGATCTCAAACATCATAAATCGAGCTCGAGCTCGAGCAGGTAAAAAAAAAAATCAATCTTGCTCGATAAGGCCAATGCTCGACTCGGCTATGCTCGTTTGCAGCCCTACTTCCCATAAAACCATATTTACAAAGCACCAAGCAACCCCAGATAATTTGACACAATTCCACTCCCCACTTAAAAGCCTATGTCTACAACACAAGCTCCACCAAGAAACTCTCCCCATCAAACCTCAGCCCCGACGGGTCGGCTGGCCGGACCAACCCATCAACCATCCCGCCATACACGTACAGAAACCGACCAGTCTCATCCACACACGCCCCGTGAAACGACCTGCAATCGGGCCTCTCCCCTCTGGACTCCACTCTCTTCCACAGCCTCCCAGAAGCCGGCCCAACGCCACACGACGAGCCCACATCCAGCACCCAAAAGTCATCCTTCCGGTTCCTATACGAGTCCTCCCCACCGTAGATAAGTAGCCGCTGGCCCACGATGAGGCTAGCCGAGTGGCCCACTCGAGGCAGAGAGAGCCCACGAGGCACGCTCCGCGGTTCAAACGCCAGCTGTCTCCATTCCCATCGGGAGTTTAGCAGCCAAACGTCCCCTAAGACCTCGAGCCCCGTTCCCCTTCCTCCGAAAAGTACAGTGCCAGCTTTGCCCACATGGGTCAGACTGTGGCCCGATCTCGACGGTGGGCTCGGACTGGCCATGATTTGCCTCCACGTTTTCGAATCCGGGTCGAGGATCCACGTGTCGCCAAGCCTTGTTCCAGATGGGCCGATGCCTCCGTGGACGAGCACGTACCTGTCGTCGATGCAGCAGGCTGCGTGTGCCCCACGGGGCGGTGGGGAGATCGGGCCGGAGTCGAGGGGCTCCCAGGAAAAGTGGGCCGCCGGGCCCACCAGTCGGCCGATCCACGTGTCGTTGTGGCGTGTGCCGAAGTCGTTGATGCCGCCAAAGAGGATGAGGGAGCCGCGGACCGAGACGCACGAGTGGCCGAACCGGCCGCCCGGGCTGCCCGAGTCGATCTTGTGCCATCTGAGGGGCAGGGCCGGGTTTTCGCTCAAGTGCACGACCCATGTGTCGTCGAGGTGCCTGCCTGAAAAGGGAGCAATAAACAGAAATAAATAAATAAATAAAAATGGGTTAAAGAGTGAGATTCATACGCACACAAGATTGCTTGAGGTGAGATGAATTCTATTAAAATGCACCAAGGATTGAGTTGCAGAACATCCTGTGAAATTAAGAATTGCTTTTAAGTTTTAAGTTTTAGAATGTAGACCCTAATTGAGCTCATATGCATTTGAGCAGCAAGGATAGAGTTGCAGAACATCCTGTGAAATCAAGAATGGCTTTTAAGCAATTTCAGGAAAATTAAAGATGCTCAGGAGTCAAGAATTCAGACAGCTCATATGCTTTTGAGCAGAAAGCAACCTTAAAAACTAATGGAGATATAGCCAGTGAAGATACTAATTTTTTGGTGTTCTTGAGATTGCGATCTCATTAATATCGTCCCACTCGCGCGTTTCCCTACATCACTCACCAAACAAAACCATCCATAGACATGTAACTCAAGCTCATCCACAAGGAATCGTTCCAATCACAAGCCCCCAATTCTATGTACAAATATCTATCTATTTAAGCAGCAAAATTGAAATTTTGAATTTTCACTGACCTCCTTCACATCCCCCACCAAAGAGAACTAAACACCCAGAAACTAAATTCAGCGAGTGAGAAGCTCTGGGCGTCGGCAAAATCCCATCGCCATCTGGGCCACTCCTCAGCCTGCGGCAGCTCACGGAGTCCAACCCATAAACCCGCCGGTACAACTCCCTCCATGGATGCCGCCGCAGGCGATCGGAACCCCTTTTCAGGGCGTTGACCGGCGTTTGCCCCCAGTCCCTCCGGCAGATGGATTCCCAGAGGGAATCGGAATAGGCTAAAGGCTTGAGCTTTTTGCAGGTCATGGAGAAACATAGGATCGATTCGACCGGCAACAGGAGCAGGATCGAAAAGAGCTGGTCTTGAGGGATTTTTGTCACCGGAGACGACGGCGATGATCCTCCATTATTGGTGTTTTCAGCCATGGGGCGGAGCCTTTTCTGTTGTTTTGTGCCGATGGGTTTATATTCGTCGTCGCCTTTTGATTCTTGTTTTCTTTCACCGCTCATTTTTTCCTTTTTCTTTTTTATTTTTTTTACTCTTTTGTTTAACGGATCAACTGGAAATGGTTAAGACGCCATAGTTACACAGTGATGCTTTGAAAAATTTGTCCATTTTGTGAAAGGTGGGCTAATTGTTGGAGTACTATTTGAGTAAAAATATATATTTATAATATTAAATATTTTTTTATTTGTGTTATTTTTTTAAATATAAAATTTAATAATAAAAATATACATATTTGTAAAAAAAAGTACGTCGGCTTAATACGTATCAACAATGTGTTGAATAATCAGGCTTAATACATACCAACAATTTGTCGAATAACCAAAGTTTGCAAACCGTACAAATTTTTGTGCGACTCGATCCAACTATTATGCAAGTAGACAAGTAATGATCGTCTAATTTCTCAATCAAAATTCAATTTTGATATTGTTTTGTATTTTTTAATTGCATTATAGTTTTTATCTGTCTTATTCATTCTTGAATGATTTTGGTTCTTCAAATTGTTGAATATAAACAAGTGTTGTCGTAGGAAATCACTGTTTTGAAGAATTATGCTTGATTCGGAAAACAAAATATGTGCTTGAGAAGTGACTAAAGAATGATGTTTCCAAAATAAGTGCTAAAAATACATAGAACATACAAATATATAGCCATTGGAGCTTGAGTTTTGGATTTCAAATCTGTTTAGTCGGTCTAAGTTTTTAAGTATGAGAGCTTTTGATATGCAAATCTTGCTCTGTCGTAAGAATTGGAGTGTGTTGGATTAAGCACGAAAGCTCTAGTGGTAGTGTTCGGTTATGGGTAACTGTCGGCAGCTTGGAGACTTACGATAGAGCCAAAGGTGACGAGGTTGTGATTAGGAGGAAGATTTGTTCCATGTATTATTAGTTTCTTCATTGTGCCTTTTAAAGTAGTTTGATAGTACCTATTTCTCATATTTGTCGGCTTTTTGTGTTTTACTGTTTGTGTGATTACTCTCCGTTATTAGAGTTATAATCTTTGTGTTCGTGTGATTACTCTCGTTATTAGAGTTATAATCTTTGCTTCCCAGACAAAAAATTCATGGAGCCATAAGATGATTTTCTTATGCAGCCATCTATCACTTAATCTATTGACATCCGACCAAAGTGTATTTATTGTAACTTTACCAGAAGCCTTGAAGTTACTATATGAAGTTGTCAAAATCAAATGGGGTGTGGCTGGTCTCCCTGAAAGAAGAAACGAAAATAGAAGCAGCCAATTAGATTATTCCAGGCGTTGATTAAGTTTGTCACTATTATCTTTATGTATGGGCTCGTGACTCTGTACTGTACCCCCACAACACTATTCTCTGTGGGCGTACCCACACACTCTATTGAGCACCTCTGTCCTGGACAGTTAAAAACATCATTTGAGACTCGGCCCCACCCGACAGATCGACACAGACCTAATTAATGTATAGGCAAAAACGATGTTCGAGTTCACTCAAAAGAATCGACCCAAGAACCCAGATATCTAAGAACAATGGTAATACAACCTTTATCTGGATGATTTTCATCTTACCTTAACCGTGCTCGATATCTAAGAACATTGGTTAGAAGTATAACATTTCTCTGGATGATTTTATCTGACCACGACCCTGCTCGATACTTAAGATTGGTTTATATTATAACATTTATCTGGATCATGGTTAGTTAATGAGTAGAGTGTTAAATCAAACGAGCCGCTCATGAGCTCTCGGCTCATTTCGAACTCATGAAGTTTGTTTGGTTAACGAGTCGAGCTCTATTTGAATAAGGCTGGAAAAGATGATTTTGTTGTTATTGTTTATAATTCGATAGTAACATAAAGGAGCCAAACTCAATCTCAACTATGAACTAGTTAAGTTAACGAGTCAAGCCGTGCTCAACTTGTTAAGGATCCTATCTTGAACTCGAGCAACATGAGCTCGAGCTCAACTCATTTACACCCCTATTAGTGAGTTGTACCCAAGGGTTTTTAACCACAAACTTCACATACCCTCATGGGTGGCTATGTGCTTGAACGTGTACAAATTTATGGTAAAAAAATTCATGGGTAGGATCACTTTGACTTCACTTTATAAAATTATTTACCCAGTCAACAATTAACCAGATGACCCGACGGTTAAATTGGTGACTCGAAGCCCAGCCCGAGTCAATCACCAATCCGGGTTTCAAAATGATACGTCTTAGGGCATGTGTCTAGGACTTTCTTTCCACACTCCAAGCTTTGAAATGTCAAACTCAACAAAATGGTGGAAATTCTTTGAGAGTGATGCTCTGTCTATTCAAATTAAGAATTTTAATACCACTTGACAATGAACAAACGCGCAAATAATTAGGTGTGCCCTGGCACACCTTGCTAGGTGTGCCAGGGCAGAGAGTGAGCACACATAAAAAAAAAGAGAGTGGCTTTAAATTGAAATTGTTGTTCAAG